GAGAGAGAGAGAGAGAGAGAGAGAGAGAGAGCATCCCCAGCCTTGAAGAGGCAAACAGGTGGCAGACCAAACTGTGCTGACGGGTTGAGCCATAGGCTGTTTGGGAGCCTACCAGTCATGGACTGCTAATCAGTGGGCAGCGCTGTACTTTGCCAAATTCAATTTGAAAAAAAGATAAAAAAATAAAAATAATAAAAATGAAAAACGAATGTTGTGCAGCATTACAATACAAGTCGGATTGATCTAATGCAAGACGAGACAGCAAACAGCCTGAATCCCAGGATCCCATATGGACGTAAGAAACAGGCTGTGGCAGATAATGCTTTGGCTCCACATGCTCACTTTATGGAATTTCTTAAACCACCAGTACACGCCCCCAGCCGTGCAGCAAAAAAACTTGTCGCCACAAGAAGTAAAAGGCTGGCTCGGGGCAGGGTCGGAGCGTCAGAAGGTTTTCAAAATTTGGGCTTATGTCAAATCCGTACGTCCCAGAAAACAAAACAAGCTTTGGCCGGTCCTTCGGGACATCCGTTAAAATTGGAACGATACAGAGAAGATTAGCATGGCCCCTGCGCAAGGATGACACGCATGAATCGAGAAATGGTCCAAATTTGAAAAAAAAAAAAAACAAGCTTTGGCCGTGATTGCAGTTAGATACACTTTTTGGAGTACTGCCCTCAGTGAGGGCACTTCGGCAGAACAAGGAACACGGGGAGCACGACTGTCCGACTCACGAAAGAAGAACAAAAAACAAAGAAGCCCCAAAAAACAAAACAAGCTTTGGCCGTGATTGCAGTTGGATATACTTTTTGGAGTACTGCCCTCAGTGAGGGCACTTCGGCAGAACGAGGAACACGGGGAGCACGACTGTCAGACTCACAAAAGAAGAACAAAAAACAGAAAAGCTCCAAAAAAGAAAAGAAGCTTTGGCCGGGATTGCAGTTGGATACACTTTTTGGAGTACTGCCCTCAGTGAGGGCACTTCGGCAGAACGAGGAACACGGGGAGCCAGACTGTCAGACTCACAAAAAAAGAACAAAAAAAAAAGAAAAGACAACAAAGCTTTGGCCGTGAAAGTGTTTGGATGCATTTCAACGGTGCTAGTGTGAGTATGCCCTCAGCGAGGGCGTTTTGAGCAAGCGTGAC